GGGCCCGGGCTGAGCCGCCGCCGCGCGCCCCCGCCCGCAGCCGGCCCTCGGCGCCCAGGCCGGGGGGCTGTTTGCAAACTGCGCCCATTTTGTGGGGCCGAATCCGCCCGGGCTACGCTCCTCCATCACGTGGTAGGTGCTGCTGCTGCTCCTCTCCTCCTCCTCCCGCTGCCCTTTCTCCTTCTCCTCGCTCTCCCCGTGGCTCCCATTTCTCCCTCTCTTTGTTAGTTGTAACTAGAAAGGCAGGGCAGGGGAGGAAAAATCCCCGGAACTTTAAATGGCCTCTCCGGGCTTCCCCGCTGCGGGTCCGGGCTGGGAGTCGCCCCAAGGGCGGGGGTGTGCGGGGGCCCTTCGCCACCAGCTGCCGCCTCGTTCGCCAGGTTTTCCTTTGGCGTTCTATTTAAAAAGGCGGCCTGAAGAACATGATTTATTCCCGTGAAAAAAGACCCAAAACAAACTCTGGCTCTCGCCTTGAACTTCTCTTGACTGCAGAAGGCCTTTCTCTGCTCGAAACACACGTCTTGCGCGTTTTACGGTTTGTATCACAACTCTGTTTCATTTATTATTTTTGTTGGCTGTAAATTGAGGTCACTTACGTTTTAAAATCTAGTGTCCCTCAGGCGGACGTGTTTTTTTTTTTTTTTTTCTAAACTAGAAGAGGAAGAGGCATTTATTTGCTTTTAAGTGAGTTGGAATCTTAGTGCCTTTGGGGGGGGGCTGTTTTCCGGCTGACCGTCTTTTGATTCTAATCAAATAGTTTTAATTGTTTTCCATAGGATAAACAACCGTACTCCCTGTTTTACTTAAAAACCCGTTTGTTTTTCAATGTTGGAATCCCAATGTGGATTTTTAGAGAAACACGTTACTTAACTATAGCTTATTGATTGCCTTAGGGGAGAAGGGGTGACATGATGGCGCCACTTTAAATTGCTCTTTCCTCCTTCTCCGCCGTTTTCCCCCCCTTTATCCTGGAGGTCACTGGAGCATTTTCTGTGACCTATTAATAAAACGGTACTGGAGGGTGTTAGTAGCACTACTCGTAGGGACCACAGTTTGGCGACCTCAAGGGCCAGAAGACCCGAATGCCGCGGTCCCCAAAGTTCCGAGAAATCTCCCTAGTCCTGCAGCCTCGCCTCCCTCCCCTCCATTCACAATCCTTGTGTTGCCATCTCCTTTGTCACGTGGCTAGCAATCATTGTGTTTTTTTGTTTGTTTTGGGGTGTGTGTATGTATTTTTAAATTGTATCCCAGAGGAGCCTTCTCCCTCTTCGTTGGAGAGATCAAAATGTTTTAGAATCAGAGAACATTTTAAAATAAACGATAAAATTACATAATCTTTGCCTTGCATAATCATGATATATAGATTGTTACTGAACTTCGTCTGGAAAGTATTTTAAAGTATGGAAAGTAGTACGTTAGAGTATGTTTTCCAAGTTTCAGAATTGGTCTGTAGTTTCTATTTTCCCAGCTTTTGGGGTCATTTAAAGTACCACTATTTACAAAGGCTTAAGTGGGTGTGTTTCCCCTCCCCCTCTCTATAGGCTGTTCTTGGTTCCTTTTACAACGTGCTGTTTGACCAGTTTAGAAAATTTCAATTGTCTGCAGGCGTTGTCAGTTAAAACTGTGTTTTGGTTTTTTTTCCCTGCCTAACGGGATACTTTTGAGTAAATTTTCTTTATTTTTTTTTAACCTGAGGGTATTTCTTTGCCGTGTCTGTTAGGTTTTGATCCAGAGAATTTTTGCTTTTAATCTTACAGTTTCAGAAGAATATTACTCTCTTAACTATTTCTTGTTAGTTTTCCCCATAATTGGGTAAAGTCCTATTTTATAAATTATGAAAGTACATTCTCTGTTGTTTCTACACAGGTTGTTAGATGCATTTCCAACTTTACAAAAATCTATTGTGAGTTAAACATTTTTAAAAGTAAATATGAAATTAGTGATTCTTGAGTATGCATCGATCGTTTCCTTTTCTCATGTACATTTTCAATGGTGTGGACCATTTTCTTTGCTAACAGTTACATCATGTCATGTGATACGTGCAGTGTGATGTGTAGTTCTAAAAATAAGGCAAGGTAAAAATGCTCATCCCTTGGAAATGTAAGAAATGTATTATAAATGTGAGATAACCACCCACAGTTCTAGGATCTGAATTGGATTCCCACTAGGTTGATCTAACAAAGTATGCACTTTCCTTGACCTTTGGCATATTTGATATATTTGTTAGTGATCTCCCAATTTGAGGTGATTGACTTTTTATGTCTCAAATGTGAACTACTTGCAGGAAAACGAGATGTTAAAAAGGTTCTGAAGGTCTTTATTATGGTTAAGATGGTCGTCTAAATGTGTGTAGAATAAATATTTGTGATTTGTGGCCATGAGCAAGAGTTACCAATTAAGTATTGTTAGAGTCTCTGTCCACCTATGTGAATCTGTTTCAGTGAAGTATTCAGAAGCGTCCCTGACTTTTTCCTGAAAGCCTATTCAGAACATTAGTGTTTGACTTTTGGGCTTCACCAAAGTGAGATGCTAATTTTTTGTCTTAATTTTCTTTCTTCCTGCCTACACACGTTTCTTTCTATGGTTAAACCTGCAGAGCACTCTTTGATTGTTAGGTGACTTATCATTAGCCTATGAGGAAAATTCTGGAAGCTAGAAAATGAGTAAGCCTTAGTTCACTTACTTGTGAACTGTTAAGATGAGAAGAAAGGAAAATATACTCCATTTTTTCCTCCAAACACTGCCATACAAATACTCTTACATCTTATGCTACACTGTAACCAGTGTCTTTGTATACTTTGGATTTTATTGGGTTGACCATAGATTTTAATTGTGTTTTAAAGTGAATAACAAGTCTTTATGTTTTCTTCTGTTTGTGACCTGATTCATGTAATCTGTAAACATAGGACCTTGTGGTTGTTGAGAGGCTTTTTGAAAACGTATTTTAGTGTTATTTAATGGTTCTAGTTTGACCCTTTCTAGGGAAACTCGGTTACTTTGTTATATTAGAAAAGTAGTTTTTAAAATGTTCTTAAAAAGCACAGATTAATCCATACTGTACTGAATTTTCTAAACATTAATGCTTACTAATTATTTTTTAATTCAGCTTCTTTGGTGGGGGGAATGTTAAGTGGGTAGGGGCTTTTCCTTGGTGAAGCCATTAAGACACAAAAATTAGGTGAATTTCTTTCTTGAGAGCTGTATATGTTTTTAAAATTTACTACTTCCTCCCCTTATTTTGAGTGTAGAAGGGAGGAAGTAGTTTTGAGTAAGTATGTATCCTCTGTTGATTGTCCCAGGGCAAATCTCATTGACTGGTTTAGAGTTTTAAGTTGCACTTTCTCAATCTTAAATATTTCCCTGCCTTGATTTTGGTTAGAGTGTTCTAAGCCTCAGGAAACACATTTTACATTAGTATCCTTTTCCTCTTGCTTACTTTAGGAAGGAATACAGTACAGGTGTCTCAAATGAATGACCTTAAACACCTGGTCTGCCTGCTGTGATAGTGAAAAGTCTTGGACCATATCCTTCCTCTAAAATATGACTTTAACTATTTATTGGGAACTTATATTAATAAAACTGGATTTTGAATCCTTATGTTGCTTCCCAAAAAGTAGGTTTAAGTTAGTTTCTCCCCTTATAAATTGCCTGTTTGTCTCTGGGCATTCTGAAAGTCGTGCCAAAATATTCCTGCCAGACTGTAATAATTGAGAACACAAAATAAGACTCTCTCATGAGTATTTTTCATCCTCAAAATGTGAGCTCAAAGCTCAGATGAATCACAGTTATGCTTAGAAAAGACAAATATCCCACTAAATCAGAGGTCACAACATTCGAAGGCTTCCAGAAGAAATAGAAGGTATGGGAGATCCTTGGGTGTCACTTGCAGTTTGAAGGGAGAATTACGGGTCATAGGAAAAGACCAGTATCTACATTTGGGAGGGTACCTCTTAGTTACTATTTGTTTCTGTGTTTAGCCATGTATTTGTCTTTTAAAATGTAGAGTAAGATAATATAGTAGAAAGTAAGCCAGCAGTTGTGATTTAACCAGAAAGTCTGGACTTTAAAAAGAGTTGCAGTAGGTGAATTTTATGTGTTAAGCTTTTTGTATTAGTGAGGTAGATGCCAAAATGCAGAGTATGTGAAAACGACTTCACTAAAGTAGAGAGCACAACTCATACTTATCGAATGAAAAACCAATCTGAAAGAAAAATGTTAGATTGTGTATGAAGATTTTTTTAAAGAGTTATTTATTTAATTTTATTTGTTTCTGTTATTTTTAAATTTGACCAGAGACAGAAAGGGAAAGTGAAAAAGCAAGCCTCCAGGTCTGGGTCTTGAGATTGCAGTCAGCCATGTGGATATCTAGCCCATAACCACTCTGCCACCTGCTGGTCCCCGTGGATGAAGATTTTTAAACTTTTATGCCAAGAGGCCTTTCAAGGTGGAGAATTTCTTTCCCCTTTTGTGCGTGTGTGTGTGTGTGTGTGTGTGTGTGTGTGTGTCTGTGCGTGTGTGTGCGTGTGTGTGTGTGTGTGTGTGTGTGTGCGTGCTTTAGGGCATGTTTGCTCAGGGGAGACAGAGTCAGAAAGCAAGAAATCACCCTGGGGGTGGGGGGTGATGGCCACATCGCAATTCCTTTTTCTCCATTCCCTTCTTGGAATTTTGGGCATGCACACACATGTGCCCAGTGTGAATTTTAAGCCACCAGGTCTGGAACTCAAACCACAGTTGATTACATGGGAGTCCATGATGTAACCATTATGCCATCTGCTGGTTTCCTCCTCCTCTTTTGTAAAAAATATTTAATTTTATTTATTCATTCATTTTTAAATTTGAGGGGGGGGGAAGGAAAGTGAGAAAGGAAGTCACCAGGCCCAGGACTCGAACTGTGGTCGGCCATGTGGGAGTGTCTAGCACCTTAGCCACCATGCCACCTGCTGGTCCCTCCTCCCCTCCTTTCTTTTTTTAAGTTTATTTTTTCTATAGGTTGGGAGAGAGGAGTGAGGGACAGAGAGGCAGAGACAGAGAGACAGCACTCCTAACAGGTCCTGACTTCAAGATCCACCCCATTCTCAGCCATCCAGGGATCATGGGCATGTGTCTCCTAACCCCAACCTGGAAGAGTGTAT